AATATCTGCTGAGACAGAGAGCTGCACAGACAGACAGGTCACATATGATTTTAATACTTGGATAGATGGATGAACACATAGATTGATAGATAGATGAAAAGATGGATGCATACACCCAGACTGATGCATTACCGTTTTTAGTATATACATCTCTCACACATCCCTGCACTCTGTAAGTACTGTCTACAAAGTCAATTCTACTATAGCATGCTTTAAATATTTCACCAAAATAAATAAATACATGTAACCATGACTAATAGGGACATCTCTCCTGAATGCTAGCCAGTACTTTATGCAAACCTCTTCTTTATGCAGCAAAATGAAAAGATAGGTCTCAGGGAAACTATAGATCTTTGTTTGCCCTCAGACACATATACCCAATTCCTCCTACTCCTCTCGAAAAAGCACCCAGTGCTGATCAGAAATCAAATTTTAGTGGACTTTTTTTTTTTTTTTTTTTGAGATTCCACTCAACAAAAAATGAAGAGTAGAGTATCAGCCATCGTCCTGGGACTTGATGAGTTAGGAGGTTTTTGCTGGATGAGTTTGCTTTCTCTGATCTGATTACTGTTTTGTTTTCCATTGATCCTCCTGTGTTAATAAAACCCAGTCTGGGGTGAACAAAAGCTTGCTTCTTTTTCTAGTAAGAAATGTGCCGAGCGCATACGATGTCATTAGCATAAAAGTTTTTGAAATAATACTGCTTTCTAGGCAGACTGTATTAATTGCATCAAGCTTTTTACAGCAGGGTGGTCTAATCTAGCTCTTCTTAGTGGCTGGCTCCAGTTATAAAACCAATGCAAAGTGAATATGGTGATATAATTGAAGGAGGGAAAAGTATTCTTTTAAAACCTATTATTTACTTACAGGTACTTCTTTTATCTTTACTGTCACCTTAGCCTTTGCCAGGAAAACACCAGCCTAGTTAAATGATGCAGTAAGTAGAATTTCAGTAGCCAAGTAAATGGGTATTAACTCTCCAAGATGACTGTGTGAATTTCAGAATGTCCTAATGACTAATACAGCTGATTCCTTGAATTAACAGGAGCTTGTTCCACTCTTCTGAGCTATGGCCCCATGCCTTCCTCTATTTTAGACCTTAAACTTCACAGCCCTGTCCATTAATCACTGCTGTCCATGCCCACTTGCTGTTTTTATATATGCAACTAAGTATCGTAATTGCTTTCCACCTCCTTCCATCAGCCTACATGTGGGAAGGAAGCAGTTTCACTGGTTAGCTGAATATATGTGGATTGGGCAGATTTAATTATCTTTACGGAGGTATATAAAACCCTCACTCGTGGGCCCAGGTCCAAAGATTTTGGATCGGGTATATATCTGAACGCAGGCATAGGGGATACATTATTATCTGTGCCATTACAATCCCCTTTGTCTTATGCCGATTATAATTCCATTTCTGGGGCTTTTGCACTGTAGGATCTTCAGGGCAGGGACTTTTTTCTTTGGAGAGCACACTGTAAAGTGCCATGCACTTCTGCGCTGAGATTTTCAAAGCTCATTTCTCGTTAACTTTAATGGGAAATGGGCATCCAAATCTCTTAGGCAGCTTTGACAATTTAAGCCTTAATGTACAATATTAATAAATCAGCATCATAAAAAGAGCCTTATGAAGATGTATTGTGAAAAAATAGCCCCACAAAAAGCATTGCAGTGTATGTGTGCATGCATACAGGCATATACTTTTCTTTACATAATTACGTCTCTCAACAATCATTTGCATGCCTCTGTTATGCAAAAAAACCTGTGTGTGTTTTACAGTTACTCCGAGCAGTTGCAATTCATTGAAATGAAATAAAAAGCAGGCTCAAAAAAGCACCCTAATCTGGCAAGGGGTAAAGCAAAATGAATGCTTTGCCCATTTATATTTTAGATCCAAGCTACACAACCCTGTGAATTTCATGGTTCTATTCCAACTTCTAATTAAATAGGCACTAAAAACATTTAAACGGGAGAACCCAATTCAACAGACAGAAGCCTCTGAGGCAAAAAATAAATAAATAAAGAGACTGAGAGAGAGAGATTGTTCCAGCGGTAGATTTTTTTTTTAAATCACGTGGAAAAACATAGACCTTTCTTTACTCGCAAATTCCTCATCCCGTGGTGCCCTGAACACAAAGAATTGAACAAAGACAGAGGGGACCACGACCAGCACCGGCGAGCGACAGGGTGGACACCCAAGCGGACTTCCCAGCACCATTTACTGCGATTGAGCCTACTATCAGCAGCACACTTTCTAAAGATGGCAAACAGCTCTGGAGGAGGAGGACGACTTCCCCTGTGCATGACTGAACGCTACGCAGCATTCCAGGCGATCGCGCTTTTCTGGGTCGGAGATTTCCAAATGCAGTTTTCACACGTGTGTACCCCAAATCCCACTGGCAGCCAGAAGTTTCGATTCTCCAGCACAAAACTGCTGGGACTCTTGAGGGCCCGATTTGTGGGTGCCCAGCAGAGATTTGGGAGTACCTGCAATTCAAGCCTTCGGAGTCACAGCCTGTTTGAGAACTGCACGGGAAAAACTCCAGGTCCTGAATGAAATGAATGCTGAAAAACAGGAAAGGTAAGATATTATGAAGGAGGAGGAGAGGCGGGAACTGTTGATGGCTTTTGTTCAAAGAAGGAAACAATTCCTCAGAAGCAAGAACAGGGCTGACAGAATAAAAGGCTAATCAAGTCAGAGAGACTAGCAGATCTCTAAAGCTGTAGCAAGGGACTGTTGTAAATGTCTGTATTAAAAAAGAGGGCACAATGCAGGGATCATCACTAGATTATTCATCAACACAAAGAACTCACTTTTCTTTCATTTCGACAAAACATTTCAGGGGCTAGAAAGATCCTGTGACCCCTTGCCACAGGGTTTAAACCATGCCCAGGCTCATACGCAGTGAATACTACGGGAGCTAAGAAAGGGTTAAGCAGCCATAATCTCCTTTTTCAAGGGAGGAAAATGTTTCTTTCAAGCAGAACTTGACCAACTACTGTCATAAACATGTAGCATGCACTTTGATATAACCTATTCTCTAAGTGCCGCAGACTGCAGCAGTAATTACAGGAAGCCATGATAACAGGTCTCTCTCTCCACAGAGCTGGCATCGCTCTCCCAGCAAACAGGCAATTCTGAAAACTCGCAGCGCACAACTCCAAAGTGAGAACTCAAAGTACACAAAGTACAAAAGCCTCGCCTTCCCACATTCTTTAATAAGTTATTCCTTCCTTCCTTTTCTATTTTTAGTTGTACTGACTTCCCTCCCCACTAGCTGCTGGCATCAGAAGCAACAGGGAACCAGGGCATCCAGTTCACTGTTACAACTACCTGCCTACCAAGGGCACCTGTGCGCATACTGCACCGGTGAAGACAGAGGACAGCAAAACAGGAGACCAGTTCCAGTCTGGTTTACTGGTTATGGGGAGGAGGGAAGGGGGGAGGCAGGAGAGCTGATTTTCTGATCCAGCGCTCGCCATTCAGAAGAGCTCATCTCTACACCCGTCTCAGGCCAGTTGGTCAATCTGCTGAGGTAGATGAAGCACTTCCAAATTAAAAGAGCATCCTCCCCGTGCTGTGGACAGCAGCTGGGATAGGAATCCTGACCAAATCCCCTGGCTGCAGTGACTGCGCGGCACCACTCTGTGCATCGCCGCAAGCCCAGTGCCTGCGCCTCGGCACGAGCGGCTGGGTGCAGATCCCCGGCGGCACAGGAGCCCTCCTCACGCGCCCTGAGCTTCACTCAGGGTCGAAACAGGACCCTGCAGAGTGCTCTCAGCCTCCCCCCAAGAATATTTTGTCTTTCCAAGACGCAAATTTAAATTTCTTGCAAAACTTTTTCTCTCGCTTTATTACAACGAGAGATGTACAGGGACATTCTCGCGAGATAGAGCGCATTGCAGCCAGGTGGTACCACTGCCTGTGGAAGGAAAAAGCTGAGCACAGCAAAGTTTTGCCAGCTTCAGGGGGACATGAGGAGCCATTTCCCAAAAGCTTTGCTCCTGACAGTTGTTGCTGTCTCTCTAAATCCTGTGGTCCTCACTCATTACTTATCCAGCATCATTCTGGGAACCCCCTATTAAAACTCCATGCATGTTAGTATGAGTGAGGGCTGCAGGGTTTGGCCCACCACAGTGAGACTTCCACAAACGCTTGCGGATTTTGCCACAGCTGCATTTTCTTTTAAGCCCTCCCCATTTTCACCTCTCCAGCCTGCAGTTCACCATAGACCCAATCTTGCAACTGATCCATGCTCAGAAACACCCACCGATTTCAAAGAGATCACTGGGTCTGAAGTGATGGGGTCTGGCAACAATATGTCCACGTCCTCTTTGGCTACCTCGGTGCACCCTCACTTCCACATCACTTTCCCCTCCTCGCGGTGACAAAAGTCAGGCACCCAAAAGGACTAAAGGAAAAGAGAAGCTGACGGGGAAGAGGCAAGGGATGCATGGCAAGTTACCAAAGAGCATTTTCTCAAAGCAAGGGAGAAAACAGCATGGAGCACATACATCCTGCGTGCACATGGACGCGGAGGAGAGCCTTTAATACAAATGACTGGGGAGAGAGGGGGAAAAAAGGAGGGGGAAAAAAACCCAGCAAGTCAGATGTTAAATGTTATCCAATTAAGCTTAAAATAAACAGCCCAGAGAGATGAAATCTTGATACTTGGGTATCACATTCTGTGAGGAGTCTCAGACATTTGTTCACAACGTGGCACAAACGGCCCAGCAGTGGCCACTGGTGACAGCTGAAGGTGGGCAGGCAGGAGGCGGGGGATGGAGAAATGGAGGGAGTTGCACGCCCTTTCCCGCTCCCCATCTTCTGCCAGGGTGGAGGGGGAAGGAAGAAAGGGAGAGGGGCAGTTCAGGGCATTCTCTCTGCCTTCCCCACACGACCCAGCGAAGGCAGCTCTCCCACAGCAAAGACGACATCACTTGGCAGCACTACTGACCTTCAGATAGCAACAAAAAAAAAAAAAAAATGTTTCTATTACCTGACAACTGACAATGACATCCAAATGTGCCTGACGTCTCAGTCTGAATCTCAGTCTGAGTCCCGCCAACTGAGACTGCACGTGCACCACAGCAGGGCAGGCTAAGGCAGGGCGGGAGGGAGGCCAGTGCGCGGAGAGGTGACGTGATCACGGATGTGTGAGGGTGGGAGGAGGCAGCTATGGGAGCCCCCGGCAGGTTTGCAGGCCTGGACGGCCCTGGAGAAAAAACAATAGAAAAAACTGTCAGTCGGATCTAAGTTTGAAGGGACAGAGGAGGCATCATCAGGGAAAACAGGCGAGGCGGGGGCTGGCTGCCTAACGCGCGGCACGCTTGGTCTGAACCCCTCTCTGGGTCCGGCTGAGGCTGGCGGGTGGGGGAAGAGCAAGAAGAGACCT